ACCCTAAGGGCACTCCTCCCAGGACCCACCTATTCCAGCCACACTCTACCTATTTATCACAGAGTTATTCCTGTCAGTGGATTAATGCTCTCATTAGGTTAAGGCTCTCATAACCCAACCATTTCACCTCTAAATTTTCTTGCATTGTTTCACACATGAGCTTTAAACCATAACACCATAACACTATCAAATCTTATTAAAGGCATATAAAAGTCCCAGGAGTCAATTTGAAGGGTTTCCTGCTGGCGAAGAATGTCATAACTGGAGGACAAATTGGAAGACTATCTACCATGGATTAAAATGTTTCAAATGTGTCTAAATCTATGAGGCCATCATAGTCCAAATTTAAAAAGAAATTGGTCTTACTTGAATGTGTTAATTTGGCAACTCATTTTTCAAATTAGTAGAAGCACATAATTAAGCATTTATCCCATCTACCCTATATTAATTATCTTGGAAAAATTAAATAGCTGTTGACAAAAATGTTTCTCTTTATAAGAAAGAAATAAGCCAGCTGATAAATGATAAAATAGGAATAGCACTATTTTGAAACTACTGATGAATTAAGGATTTAGAAAGTGATTATCAATAGCTGTTGACATCTCAAAAGGAGAAAAGACTATGTATCAGGTGCATACTAGCAGAACTGTGGGACACATGTAAAGTAGCCCTGCCTAAAAAAATAAAATAAAAACCAAATCAAGTTTCTAGATACTACAATTATCAATTAATAGGAAATAGGACACAGGAAAAAAAGCTTAAAAGCAATTCACAGATTCCAGAATGTAATATACTCTACTGACCTGTTTTGTCAACAACTATAATACAGGGAAGGGAAGAGAAGAAAGAAGTATTGGTTGAAGAGATATAAGAGACATACAATGAACTGAATGTTCAAGTCTCTAATAAACTTCATTTGTTGACATTCTAACCCAAGGCAACAGTATCAGGAAATGAGGGCCTTTGAAAGGTAATTAGGTCATGAGGGTGGAGCTCTTGAGAATGGGATTAGTGGTGTTTAGCTTTTTGAGTTCTTTATACACCCTAGAGATTAGTGCTCCATCTGATGTGTGAGGGGTAAAAATTTGCTCCCAAGATGTAGGCTCTCTGTTCACCTCACAGATTTGTTTCTTTTGCTGAGAAGAAACTACTTAGTTTGATTCCATCCCATTTATTGATTCTTGGTTTTAATTCTTGCGTTATAGGAGTCTTATTAAGGAAGTTGGGGCCTAATCCCACATGATGAAGATTACCACTACTACTACTACTACTACTACTACTACTACTACTACTTTTTCTTCTATTAGATAGAGAGTCTCTGGTTTAATTCCTAGATCCTTGATCCACTTTGAGTTGAGGATTTGCAGTTTTCCCAGCATCATTTATTGAAGAGGCTATCTGGCCAACGACATGAACAGACACTTCTCAGAAGAGGATATACAATCAACAAATATTTGAAAAAAATGATCATCATCTCTAGCAATTAGAGAAATGCAAATCAAAACTACTCTAAGATACCATCTCACTCCAGTCAGAATGGCAGCTATTATGAAGACAAACAATAATAAGTGTTGGCGAGGATGTGGGGAAAAAGACACACTCATACATTGCTGGTGGGACTGCAAATTGGTGCAGCCAATATGGAAAGCAGTATGGAGATTCCTTGGAAAACTTGGAATGGAACCACCATTTGACCCTGCTATCCCTCTCCTCAGTCTATACCCAAAGGACTTAAAAACAGCATACTACAGGGACACAGCCACATCAATGTTTATAGCAGCACAATTCACAATAGCTAAACTGTGGAACCAACCTAAATGCCCTTCAGTAGATGAATCGATTAAAAAAATGTGGCATATATACACAATGGAATTTTACTCAGCAATAAAAGAGAATAAAATCATGGCATTTGCAGGTAAATAGATGCAATTGGAGAAGATAATGCTAAGTGAAGTTAGCCAATCCCCCCCCCCAAAAAAAAAAAAAAAAAAAAAACAGTGAATGGTTTCTCTGATATAAGGTGACTGACTCATAGTGGGGTAGAGAGAGGGAGCATGGGAGGAATTGACGAACTCTAGATAGGGCAGAGGGGTGGGAGGGGAAGGAAGGGAACAGAGGGTTAGCAATGATGGAGGAATGTGATAGACAGTATTATCCAAAGTACATATATAAAGACATGAATTGGTGTGAACATATTCTATGTACAGAGATATGAAAAATTTTGTTCTATATGAGTAATAAGAATTGTGATGCATTTCTCTGTCATGTATTTAAAAAATATAAGCAATTTAAAAAATGGAATTAGTGGGGCTGGGGTTGTGGCTCAGTGGTAGAGCACTCGCCTAGAACCCGTGAGGCACTGGGTTTGATCCTCAGCACCACATGAAAATGAAATAAAGATATTGTATCCACCTACAACTCAAAAATAAATATTTTTTAAAAAGAATGGGATTAGTGTCCTCAAAAAAGAAATTCCATAGAGGTCTTTTGCCCTTTTTATGCCATTAGAAGATACAAAAAGGAGACAAGATGACAGACAGCCTGTAACCTAGAAAAGAACCCTCACCAGAACCAGGCAGTGCTGACACCTTCATCTCAGTAACTGTGATTTGGGGGGGTGGGGACTGAGGGACTTCTGTTGTTTATAAGAAACCCAGCTCAAGGAATTTCATTATAGCTGCCTGGTCTGATAAAGATAAGACATGTGTTGTATGAACTTCATTATAATTCTGATTTCAACCAGTAAATTATATGAGGTAGGGAGAACTTATGAGCTATATGAGAACATTTGAATGTTGATGGATATTTAATGGCAAAATGAATTATGTTGTTTTAGATGGAATGTTAACGTGGTTATGTTTTTACTAGGAAAAAAATCCTTACCTTTTAGATAGACTGGCTGAAACATTTACAGTTGCAAATGATGAAATGTCTGGAATTTGCTTAAAATATTCTGGTGGTGGGGGGGATTAGGAAAAGTTGTAGATAAAAACTTAAAAATTGTTTTAAGTGGATTAGCTTTTCTACTTTTGTGCATGTTTATAATATTCTCTATACAGTGTTTTGAAAACAAAATTAAAATGCTTTTATTGTGAGTTTACATTTAAACAAATGAGACACGTGGGTATTTATAACTTCAAGGTTAAGAAAGAACAAATATTAGAGGGGAAAATGTTATTGGTTTAATTGAGTTGCAAAAATCTATTCCTTTTACACACTACATAATATAATTAATTGAAAAAATAATACTAAGAACAACTCAAAACAAGATGTGACAGCACTTAGTTCCTTTAGAGGTGAAAGAAATGTAATTTGTGCGCAGATGTTATTTTTTTTTTGACAGATGTTATTTGTCAAATAATTTTATTTGCTAGTGACCACGCAGCTGGCATTGTCACTATACTTTCAGATACAGAGAACTCTATGGCTGATCTGTAAGCTCTTTAGTGACACAGTATATGCATCCTCATACCGTCTTGCTGGTTTGGGGTTTTCAGCAAGAACAGTTTGGACATTTACTCCCCTCCACCCCACCCGACCCCTGCTCCTGGGTGTGGCAAGGAATAGGACTTTTTGAAACAAAAGACATTCTAGGATTGCATTGATGAAAGAGTAATCTCTACAAGCAGTGCCAAGTTTCAATTCCCCTATCTCCCAAGGGTAAAACCTGTCCCATCCTCCGAAAATCCTTTTCTAATGCTGAAGAAATGACAGTATTCTGGTTGATTTAGGAGAGGAACGTTGCAGTCATAGGAAGATGCTATACCTCAGAAACACTAAAAACTCTAGGAAGGTAGAAATAGGAGAGAGAGAGAGAGAGAGAGAGAGAGAGAGAGAGAGAGAGAGAG